TGAAACACACACCTTCGCAGCAGATTCCAACTTTCGTCCATCTCCAAAAAAGGCATTTGGAAGTAGTCTGGGCCATCCAGTTGCAAAGCCACATTCGATAGCCTAGTGGTTATCAACACTTTGCTCCCGTCGTTGTTATCGGGAAAGTAGCGCTTCACCCCGTTCCACGCGTCCATACTCCAAATGTCATCCATAACAATCAGATACCGTCGGCCGTATAAGCTTTGATACAGTTTTTGTCCTAATTCTTCATATTCGTTGTCCTCACCCCCCATGGTTTTTTTCAAACAGTCAAGGACTTCTAACAAAATCCTTTTCGAATCAAATTCTTGAGAGACTGTAGCCCAGCCGCGAATATAAAATTGTTCCACAATAAGTGGATGTTCGTAAATTCTTTTAGCAAGAGTGGTCTTACCAATACCGCCCATGCCTGCAATCGCGATGATCCAGCGGCAGGATTGTTGATTGGTCAGCTTATCCATGATGTCATTCATGACATCATTGGAACCCACCATCGTGTCGTCCCCCTCGGAAGGACTGTTGTTCAGCTTATCCATGATGTTGTTCATGACATCATCGGAACCCACCATGGCGTCATCCTCGGTGGAAAAAGGAGCAATTTTTTTCCCCGCCTTCTCTTTAACAACAGCCACGTCTTTTGTGATGGAATTCAAGTGGTGCATCACTTTCTGTAGGTTTCGATACAAAGAGTCGTCTTTTGTGATGGAATTCGAGTCGTGCATCACTTTCTGTAGGTTTTGATGTGAATCTTCTTTGTTCAAACTATTGTTGTTATTGATACAAAGAGTCACTTTTTGTATCTTTTTCTGTAGGTATCGATACAAAGAGCCGTTGTTCGAACTGATGTTAGCCTTCCCACGAGCCTGAATATGATCGGCAATATGAGACTTGATGTTAGCCTTAGCAAGAGCCTCAATATGATCAGCAATATGAGACTCAATGATATCCTCTGCCTCGTGAGCCGCATCAATCATGCGCCCCTCCAACCCATCTGCATCATCATCAATAATATAGTTTTCAAGAAACTGCATCAAGAAAGCAACCATTTGGATAAGTGGTTCGATTTTTAGTTTGTCGAGGGAAATGGGTGGGCAAGGGTGAGTTTGGATTTGGTTTATGGTGTTTGTAAGAGAAAGCAGAGCTCCATATGCTGCCATGGATGATCCCCTGTTTGGTGAAATGAAATCTATTATTATCTTTAGTTTGGAAATTTTTTTCGAGAGAAGTGAAAGCAAGAAATTTTTTTCTCACAAGGCTCGGAGAAGACGAAGAAGGGTCAGGTTAGATGAATGTGAATGATAGATTAGGTACAACGTCAATTTCCAGTTGGGACCAAAGACAGTGAGCAGCAGCAGCAGCAGCAGCCCATCTTGACCAATAATGTCATATAAACCAATAATTCTACTCATGGTAATGTACTTAGCTTTTGACCAGCCCACCACATAAAATTCGCAACCAAATGAGCTCTAACATACTTTGCAAACATGAAAAAAAATAATAGGGAAAATTGATAGCAACGGATCTCCCTATCGAGCCATGATACCTCCCGCCGGCCGCCGACTCCGTGGTGCCTTCCGCCACTACCTCCGCCGCCGCGGTTCCTTTCTCCGCCGTCGCCGCTACTACGGTTGCCATCCCTGGTGGAGCTCATGGCTTAACAAAGCGAGAAATTGGGGAAATTGAAGAGATTTGGATTATAGCTGATAGGGGGAAAAGGCGGAGTTAGCACAGCTCATAATATAAAAGCAATATATGAAATAATATATGAAATAATAAATTTTAAGTAGAACAAAATATCATAAAATGGTTATTTTTGTTATTTTTAAACAATTTTGAAAAATAATATATAAGAAAAGTAAGTATTAAAAAAAATTAATTAAATAATTGTTTTAAGAAGTATTCTCAACCAAAAAAAAAAAAAATTATTATGCAATTATTATATTTAAAATCTTAAAATATGCATTATCACTTTTGATTTGCCATTTTTTACCTTTAAAGTAATCTATGTAATTATCAATCTTTGAGAAATGTTATAGTCCTGTTAGGGAATCATTCTGTCATAATTTGTAACCGTTAGATGATGATTTCACTGTTACAAATCTGACAGAATGGTTCCGTAACGAGACCGTAGCATTTCTCTCAACGTGATGACTATTGAGATTTCTAAAATTATAATGTAGTTGGAAAAATTAAATTACAAATATTTTTATCTCCCATTTCAAAATGTTATCCATGATAAAAAAAAAAAAAAAAAAAAAAAAAAAAAA